TTAATATTTTTAGCTTTAATTCGAAGTTTTCATTAATAGAATAAAGAAAATGCTGCAAATATTTCAATTTTTCTGTACATTTGACAAAAATTTCAATGAAATATAACAATTTCTACGTTTATTCGTGTTTCAAATTTCTTAAATACTTGTAAAATCTATTATAAAACATTCCTTATTTTAAATATTATTAATTTTAATTTGACTTTTTTTAGTTATATATTAAAGGAAATAAGAAAATTTCAATAAATTATATAAATAATACATATATTTTCTAGTTATTAGTAAAAAAAAATATCATAAATTTATAAATTATTTATTATTATTTGACTTTTTCAGTATTAAAACAAAGAAAATGGAAATACTGCACATAATTTATTTATTTCTTTATTTTATTTCTATACTTTTGTATCATGTTTGTTAGGTGATTTGGAGCTGCTGCTGTTGGAAACCCGTCAACCGATCTCCTCTCCATAAAATTAATGCGCTTATTAAAATTGTCTAGAATAATAATAACAGGTAACACGCCGTAAATTATTTACTACTTTTTATTTCTTTTTTTGGATGCAAAACGGTTTTAATGACGACGCTGCTGCGACCGTGACGTGACGATCTCAGTACATAATTCATAGCATTTTATTGGTACTTCGCCAAATGCCTTTTAGTTTACAATAACATCACAATTATATAGATCGTAATTGCGCACAGTATAAATTATCCCTTCCGAAACTATACATCATCTATATTATGTTACATAACAGCTTAAGAAAACGTTACTAACTGTTAAAAGAATATAAAAAAAATCTGGTGGCAATCGCAAGCCCGACAACCGAAATCTCGACGTTCGAAATCCGGAGTCAAAATTTCGACTATATCGAAATTCGAAATATACAATAACATTTTTATGGTAGTCGGGATTTTGATTGTCGCAATTATGGTAGTCGGGATTTTGACATAGTCGGGATTTCTATATAGTCGGGACTTTAATACAGTCGGGATTTCGAACGTCGGAATTTCAATAGACGGTCTTTCGGTTGTCGGGCTTGCGATATAGACCTGAAAAAAATATTATTACAATTCAAAAGATATAAACAATTAATTTTTGAACAATTACATGAAATAAATCGTGTAATGATGTAAATTAGTCTCTTGATTATTGAAATAAATCTTAAAAGAAATTATTCAAAATTTTCAAACGAAAGTGTAAGAATCAAGAAGTATTTAGAAGAACTAAAAACTATGATTTTAACTTAGAAAAAAAAACTATTAATATATATATACAAAGTACAGTGGAACCTCGCTTAACGAGATAAATGAATTGTAAGAAAAATGACTCGCTTAACGAGCGACGTTTCGCATAACGAGTGACGATGAGAAAGAAGTCTCGAATTCCGTACATCACTTTTAAAACTTGTGTACACATATGTGTATTTTTGAATGTGTTTCAGTATACGAGTAAAAATTCACTTCCACTGTATTTTCAAATTCAAACTGTTAGTATAATTTTATTCGAACAATTTTGCTTTAAAATTATTGACAAAGTATGACATTTTGATACAAATCTCTTGCGTTTCCTTTTGTGTATATTATTGTTATTAAGATGCGAATACATCTTTAATAAATTTGAATAAACAGATGATGGACACACAGATATTTCAGTTTTACGTCGGAAGATGAGAACAACACAAAGAGCGTCAAGCGGCGTCAACTTAAACTCTTTTTTTATGAATACAATTTAGTCGCTTTAAATAAAACGTCGGCATTATGTACAGAAAAACAAATTATGTAACACCTTTTCTTTTTGATAAAAATCATTCCAAGTTGTTTGCAAAATGTGTAAAATTTGTACAGTTTCAAGAATAATGAATTTCATTGAAATTACCCCAATAAAACACAAGTACTACTGATGGATGAAAATGACCCGTTTGCTAAATATATCCAAAAAAAATAGAACAAATTATTAATTTTTGCAATAAACACACACTAATTATTATTTAATGCACTTGACATCGTCTTAAACTGATTTCTCCCGTTTTGGTATATGGGAAACCAAACTTATTCCACTTTGAACACCAAATATTGATGTTATTTCAAAAACTGCTCCTATTGAAAAATTGCATTACAAAATACTATAATAGAAGCTCAACCTTTACAATTAAATTACAATAGAATGCGAATTAAAACATATATCAGATGGGTCACTATGACCCATCCATAATACTTATGGGTTAATGGGTTTTATTGTATTGAAAATAAAGTACAATATCAACTTTTGATATACTCAATAACATAACTAATTATATGTTGAACTTTATTTAATAATTGATAAAATTAATCATAAAAAAATAAATAGTTCCAATTGAAAAAAAAATGATATTAATAATACAGTAAATGTACCAGAAAAATGTTTTTAAAACAAAACTTAATATTAGATTAAATTATATTTTGAAACAGTTTAATTGTATTGAAAATAATGCAAAATATCAATATTTGATGAACAGAAATTATTCAATAACATAAGTAATTTTATGATTAAATTTATTTCATAATTAACGAAATCAATCATGAAAAATTTCAGTTCCAATTGACAAGAAAACAATATTTATAATACAGTAAATATATCAGAAAAATATCTCTGAACGTATCTGAAAAGAAATATATAAAATTCAATTGAAAATAACGTTAAATATGAATAATTTGATGAACAGAAATTATTCATTAATATAAGAAATTTTATGATAGAGTTTATTTTATAATTAAAGAAATTAAAATAAAAAATAGTTCCCATTGACAAAAAAAATAATAAATATACTACATTTTATATATACAATGGAACCTCTCTTAACGAGTCTTTTTCGTGTACACAAATTATATGTGTATTTTTTAATATATTAACCATCTCCGATATTTTCTTTGTCATCTTTGTTTAAAGCGGACTATAATTTGCAAATAGAATTTGTTTTTGCTGTAAATGCAAACCACAAATATATTCTGTCCAAGCATTATTAGATTATATAAACATACTATGTACACTTTTTTATATAAACAAATATTAAAAGTATAAAGAGACTTCCAACAAGTCCCCGAATTGATACAAGTATAAACTCACTTCACCGTGTGTGAATTGGAAAACAGTTATTCTAGTTGCATTGTGTTGCTTGTTATCACAAAAATTTTAAACTTATGTTCAGACATGTTATTTGTGATTTTTTTTGTGCAAAATTTAATAACACTGACATGCCTTCAAATAAAAAGCTAAAGAATAAAAATAACCATAGAAATGAAAAGCAAAATCAAGAAAAATCGAGACCAAGTTATACTTTTTTTTCTCCGGCATGGAACGCATTGACATAATTTACTTTAGTACATATGGGAAAAGCTGCTTCACTATACGAGTAAAAGTCCGGAAATTTTGGAACGGATTAAACTCGTTAAGCAAGGTTCCACTCTATTCTGTTTTCAGACACTAGATTATTTTTCTTTAATAGATATTGTTGTATTGAAAATATTACACAAATAATTCCATAAAATTCAGTTCCAATACAAGAAAATTATGTTTTTCTTTGAGAAATGTATTTATTGTAGTTTTATTGATGAAGAAGAAGGTATGGAAGTTAATGAAATAAATAGAATGATATTAGAATGAAGTGGTTGCCTTTCGTGGAAGATTGTTTTTTGTTGAAGTAGGGAATGCCTATCGAGGGTAGAAATCAGCGGACGACGCGACATTATGTGCTCGCATAAAGCACTCTCTGGACGAGCGAGCGCTTGAACAGTTATAGAAGTTTATGTTCGCATCTATATCAGGCCATAATAATGATAATAATAATAAAATTAAAAGCCCGCAAAAGAAGTAAAATAAAAATGAAAGAGAATAAAAAACAAGGAACGATTCTCGATTTGCCACGTTGATAAGACGACGTGTGTGTGTGTGCGAGCGATTGAAAAATGATTAAGCAAAAGGAGTGTACGAAGGAATTAACAAGGGAGAGGAAGAGGAATGAGAAATGAGATGAAGAATGAGAAGGAGGTAAGAAGTGAAAAAAAAAAAAGGAGCAGACAACAGAGTGGAGCAACAAAAGCTTGAATAAAAATAATAAAATGTTGCGAGTGGAGGAGAAGAAAAAGGCGGAATGTTGTTGGTGGTTATGAAGTAATGGCAGGTCTACGGGATCGGGATCGAAAAGCGTAGCGTAGCAGAAAACGAGCGCGCGATCTGGTAGAGCGATAATGGAGAGTGATAAGGATATCCTGGTGGCACCGCCCAGCAGGAACTGCTGGCTCAGTTATATTCTATATAGAATAATATGGTCCGAGCCGAAGCCGTAGCCACAGCCGCCGCCGCCGCTTCTGCTACTACTCCTGCCTCCGCTTGGGAAGCTGCGGTCCAACAGATGACCACTTTCGATCTCCGCCAGCAAACTGGAGCAGTCCGCGCTCTCGCAGGACGCAAACCGACCACAGTATTTACTCGGACGTCGCTCTGATAGCACGCAGCGAGTGAGAAGAGAAGAGAGTCTCGCACTGTAACACCGTAGACAAAGACATACACACACACAACACGACAACTCCTAACAAAGAGAGAGAGAGAATAAGAGAGACTCTACATCTAGAAGGAAGGAAGAGGAGCCCATCAGAACGCAGCAAACAATTAAAGACTGGCGGCTCTCAACTTTTGTGTTCTTATCGTGCGTTGAAGTCACTCGCATCCCGCGCGACCGCCCGTTCATATCACCATGCGGACCGACGAAACGCCGGTCAAGTTAAAGTTCAACGCGTCCGAAGACTCTTCTACATAGATCAATTTTTTACGTTGTTGTGTGGATACACTCAATTATTTTTTTTTTTGGTGTGATTACCTCTTATCATTTTTGTGCACCATCGAAGGACTACACAAACCGAGAAAACAAAAAAAAAAACAATACAAGACAAGACAATTTGTTTTTCCGTTCTTCAACCTATTTCTTCCTCTTTATTTATACATTTTTTTTATCTCTTCATATTTTTGGCTAAAGTGATTACGCGTTTTCTTTGAGTGACACAAGGAATTTTCAAAGTGGTTTATTTATCATTTCTCTCAGACACCAACCAAATATAATTATTGTGAACGAAGAGTATATTTCAAGAACTACATCGAAAAACAACAACAGCTCAAATTGTAAGTCTACTTTTTTTTTTATTATTATCGTTACAGTAAAAAAAAGATATTATTAATAATAATTAGATTCCTACCAAAAATTATGTATAACAATTGAAACGAAGACTAATTAATTTCAACAATAAACTAAAAAAAATATTAAGAAAATCATAGATAAAATTTAATAAAAAAATCTTAGAAAACGATAAAATTTTGAACAAATATATTAAAAGTTCAAACAATTAAAGTAATTGCGCTTGTATAATGAAAAAAAAAAAACTAAGTATGTTAACTAAATATATAAATAAATAAAGAATTGTTTTTTGAAATAAGTTTTTCTAAGAATTTGTCAAGATTTACCGATATTTTTCGTGAATCATGTAATTGTTTTGTAACGTAAACGTATTGGATATATATTTTTTAAATTCTTTAATTTCTATACGAAATAAACTATAAATCTGTAAAAAATAGTTCAAAATTTTCTATATAGTAATAACAATGTTATCATATGAAATGGCAATAACTTTGAATAAGAAAATAATTAATTTTATCAGAAAAGAATAATTGTTGCTGGTAATTAGTGCATAAAAGAAGAAATTGATAATTAATCATTAATTACAAAGTAATTTAGCGCATTGTTGTGATTATAAAGAAATATTGAACTTAAGTGTAAAATAAATTAAAAATCACCTATCCGAGATTATCTGTGAAGTAAGTTGTTTAACTTTCGTTACCTTAATAAGCAAAATACATTGATTTGCTAAAAAACATTAATAAAGTGTAAATATGTTTCGACGTATATCATATAATAAATCAATGTAAAGGATTGAATAGGATAAATGTATGAATTATATATAAGATAGTTGAGTTTATTGACAGTAGATGTAGTTACCAGCTGGAAGGATAGAGACATAAACGAAGGAAAGTTATCACTTACATTTAGATTACTATAAACAGTTTGAGCAGAAATCAATTTTCAGCGCATACAATTTTCACTTTCGATTTAACTCAGCCGCTACAACTATAAAGTTTAACATACACAACAAAAATTTAAAAAAAAACAACAACCTGTAGTTTTTGTGTCATTTTACCGCTTCATTTATTTTTTTTATTGATTAGCAATAAATTTCTGATCGGACAGTTCAATCAATTAACAAAGCGGTTATTTTCGCACGGCATTTCGAAAAGCAATATAAAAACGGTAGCTTTTAATTTCTCTGTATAAGATTTATAATAAATATTCGTGTTTTTTTTTAATTTAATTTAATTGAAATGCCGAATCCAATTTTTAACATTCTTCGGCTCGATTAATAGAAACAAATTTAGTCTAAAATCTTATGTGTTTTAACGTAAAAGAAGAGAAGATTAAAAAAAACTATAGTGGACTCAATTAATTACATTCGTTTCGGTCTTAAGATGGAAGGAGGAAGTAGTTCGTTCGTGGGCGAAAAAATGTTTTTATAAACGATCAATTTTCGACAAAACAAACGGCCATTAATTATGCAACAAACACGTATAGAGAGAATACAAAAAAAAAACACACGCATTTGATGTTTTCCGAACGTTTTTTTTTCTGTTGTCGTTCGTTTCTTCGACTCATTCTTCTTCATCTCTCGTTTTAACGACGTTGTAGGTGTTCGTATTTCCTGCGGGATTTTTTTTTCGAACTATTCGGATAATAAATTGTACATATTTAGTAGTCATCGACGTGCTAATTGATCGAGAAAAAGAGAGAGAATGAGAAAAAAAAATGTGTCGGAAAGTTGTTTCTGTAATGGATGAATTGACGTGTGATAATTACAGTTTCATAGTTTATTGTTTGAATTTGAATGAAATCTGTATAAATTTTGAAAACTTTAGATGATTTTTAGAAAATTTTACTGTCTGCAAGTTATTAACATTATTTTTTTTGAAAATTGTGCTTTGAATTGTTTTTCTTACTAAAATTTTACAAAAGTATAGTTTATTGTTTGTATATATTTAAATTTGAATGAAATCTGTATAAATTTTGAAAACTTTAGATGATTTTATTGCAGGAAAGTTTTACTGTTTGCAAGTTATTAATAATATATTTTTGAAAATTGTGTTTTGAAATCTCTTTCTTACTAAAATCTAACTAAAGTATAGTTTATTGTTTCTAGATATTTTAATTTGAATGTAATTTGTACAAATTATTGATATCTTGAGAAGATTTTAGTGATTTTATTAATTGATGAAAATTTTTGATGTTAGAAAGTTAATAAAATTCAATTTTTGTAAATTGTATTTCAAAATCTATTTCTTACTAAATCCTAGTAAGGTATAGTTTATTGTTTGTAGATATTTTAATTTGAATGAAATTTGTACAAATTACTGAGATCTTGAGACGATTTTAGTGATTTTATTAATTGATAAAAAAAAATTGATGTTAGAAAGTTAATAAAATTCATTTTTTGTAAATTGTATTTCAAAATTTATTTCTTACTAAATCCTAGTAAGGTATAGTTTATTGTTTGTAGATATTTGAATTTGAATGAAATTTGTACAAATTATTCAGATGTTGAGAAGATTTTATTTAATTGATAAACATTTTTGATGTTAGAAAGTTAATAAAATTCAATTTTTGTAAATTGTACTTCAAAATTTATTTCTTACTAAATCTTAGTAAGATATAGTTTATTGTTTGTAGTTATTTGAATGAATTTTGTATAAATTATTGAAAAAAATCAGCTGATTTTACTGATTTTAGATGGAATTTTTTTTGTTAGAAAATTTATAAAATTCAATTTTTGGAAATCAACTTCTTACTAAAATCTTACTAAAGTATAGTTTCATAAATTATTGAAAACTTAAGATGATTTTATTTAAAACATTTAATGTTTGAAAGTTAATAAAATTATTATTTTTTTAAATTGCATTTACAATTCTATTTCTTATTAAAATTATACGAAATAGCTATAAATTATGAAAAACATGTAAAAAAAACTTCCTGAAACGATCTAAAATAAATGAATTAGGTAATAAATGTGTTATAATAATAATTACAGATTTGTTGTTAACTTCTATATAATAATTATGAATAAAAAATCCAATTAAAATGAAAGAATGATTGAAAACTGAAGATTTTTTGGTTGCATTTCAGAAAATTACATATTAATAATTACTAATTTCCATCATTTATTTTTAAAACATATTTTTAGTAATTTGAATTTTATTCATTGGAAATTGAAAGTTTTTTTTACTAATTTGATACGAGCGTTTTTTTGTATCAAAATCATTACAAATTCGTCCTTAATTTCAATAATTATTACTAGAAAATTATGACTTTAAACTTTCTTAAGTTATTTAAGTTGTATCACTCAAAATCATTACAAATTCGTCCTTAATTTCTATAATTATTAACACAAAATGATTGTAAACTTTCTTAAGATACTTCAGTTGTAGCTAACTAGATATTCAAAGGATTATACTTCTTTTTTTACGTTGCAAAAAAAAAAATGTGTGTAGAAGTGTAGCAGGACTTCCTGCTGCGATCCGAAACGCACGCTTTAGATAATAAAGTGTACTGATTTGGAAGTGAGATTCCTAATTGATGAATGGAAGCGCTTCCACTACGCACGTTCCTAATTGCGCAACGAATTTACGCGCACCGAGAGAAATTGCGTTTCGATTTCGTTACACATAAATTGATCCTTTTTTCTTTTTCTTTTTTTTTTGTTCGCTTCAACTCCGCGTGTCGAGAGATATCGAGAGCGTCGTGAAAATGCGACAAATGAAAAGCAAGTTCGATTTCCTGTTGTCACTTAACTTAGATTTAATTGCGTAATCATCAGGTTCATATGAATACTTTTCGCGTTCTCTCTCATTCAACTCACATTTTCTATATTTACTTACAAATTTACATAATTATTTACATGTATTTACGTTTTTACAAAATAATTGCAAACAAAAAAAACACTGCAGCTAATTTAACACTAAATTGTTCTGTCGCCGCGTTTTGTCGTTTAAATTTACACCAATTTGCTCGACGCCTTAACGATCGTAATTGCCGCTTCGCTTTACACGATTTTGGCCCACCAAAATCGGTCTCAAATTGTCTCATTACGATCGCAAATTGAGCAATTTTCTCCCAATCTTTGGCGCGCCCGCTCGTTAACGAGGGTGTGAATTTGCGCAAATTATATGCACAAATTGTATGCGCAAACACAACTCTCGAGCAAGTTTCGCGAAATTCAACAGTTTCTGCATGTAAATCGAATTACACTTTCTCGATGAAACTTCCGCTCCAAAAAAAATAAGAAAATAATTAATAATAATTCGGTTACCTCCTGTGGCACGAATAACGGTGCATTAAGGAAACGTACACTTTGATATTTAGGTTCATGCACTTAATGCAGAAATAATCTACTATTAAATTTATTTAAAAAAAATAAAATAAACTAAGATTAATTTCAATATTACTTTACTTACCTGAATTATCACTACCGCTTATCCACGCTTCGTTTATTTTAATTATATCTACTATATATAATATAATTAATACATTTAATTGCAAAGTAATAAAGATATGTTTGAATGGGATTTACGCGGCAATTATAAAATAGTTACATAAGTCGAGCAATATTGAAAATTTCTTTGAAATAAGACGAGTTAACTGATGGGGGGAAAACAGTGGATTTACATTGATTGAAAGTCCTTCGCCTCACCAAAAAACACACGCATCTGGTTTTTCTTTCTTCTTGTTCGGACGTAACGAGGAAGTCCACATTCGTGGAAGTTAATTGAAATCGGGGAAACCCGATCTTCGCTATTTCTGTTAATTAATAGAAAAAAAATAGTAAATGAATAGAGAAAAAGAAAACACGCAGTAAACAAGTGCATCTTTGGTTGTGACTATGTAAATCTGTTGAAGCGTTTATTTTAATGGCACGTTCATTAATTCAATTCTTGTTTATGCAAGTGTTTTCTTTTTTTTTTATTTTATTTACTTTATTCTATTTGCTCGTGTATTTTGCACAATTTTCAATATTTTTAAATAAATT